AGGCCTTCAGTCTGTTGTTCATAAGGTCTCTGTGAGGCATAGTTAACTCTGACATCTAACAGCAGCAACAATTCATGTTTTAACATCTTCAGTTATGAATATAGGCAGTAGACACTAATAATATTGACAGCACTTGTGATATTATCAACAGTGGAAATTACAGGTTTTTTAATATATCATTATAGTTATTTCTGACATCTTAGGATACCATTTCTTTCAAATTATTGTAATTATTAAAGCTATATATATAGGTCCTGTTATACATTAGTAAAGCACAGAGTTTTTTAGGGTCTCTATAACTATATGTCAGTATGATTAGATTTCTTTATAATCCTATGTATTTTATTTTATGTGTTATTTTGAAAAGTGCTATCTCAAGGAGGGAGCTCTGATGACATAGCAGAGGGACTTGTGCTGCTAACCTACAGGCAGTCAGTTTGATCCACCAGCAGAAACTCCATGGGAAAATAAATGGGCAGTCTGCACTTGTGCCATTTACAGCCTCCCAAAAACCCTCTAGAGGGAATACTGGAGTCTTAAAAGGAAGAAGCTGAGCTACAATCCCAAAGGCACATAGCTCTAGTCCACCTCCTGCTCTGTGGGAAAAGGATGGGCATCTCCTCCTGTGTGATTAACTGCCTCTGAAAACCTGCCTGAGGGTCAGCTGTGAGTTGGTTCCAACTTGATGGTACACAGCAACAACAACAAAACCCCTCTGTAAGTGAGTTTATTTCAAAAAGAGACCTATGCATCTTACCAAACTGCCAAAGAAGTTTCTGACACCAAATCCCTTGACAAATCTTTAATCAACCTGTAATATCACCTAAGATTTTCCTGTTGCTGTCACTCTTTTTGCCTAGCTTACCCCATCTCCTCCCTCAAGACTCAGCTCAAGCATCACCCACCTCAGGCATCACCTTTCCCTGATAAAGTCCACCATCCTGTTTATTCTTCTAGCATTTTTGCTCTTTTTAGCATAGCTGAGATTGCTTTTTTGCATAATTTTTATTATCCATTCTTTCCTACTATTCACAAACAGGAATTCATAACTCATTCAGCAAGAAAATGTATATGGTTGCTATGTGCCAGACACTATCCTTGGTGCTAGGGATGTAACAGTGAACACAGCAAACAAAAATCTTGTTCTTACAGAATTTTCATTTTAGAAGTAATCTGTTTCGCCCCATATCCCCAACCAGTGAATTGAAAATTATTTATTTTTGACTTGAATTTCCTATCTGTGGATAACATAAAACCATAGAAAGCTTCAGTATACACATTTTAATTTAGCCTCTCAAGAGCAATATCAAGAAAACAAAAATTCTCACCACTGGGCCATTTGGCAGCACATGATAAACAGAAAAGAAATTGAGATTGTTAAGAGCTTCAGCTTGCCTGGCTGAGCAATCAACACCGTGGATTGTGGATTTCCAGTAGCCAGGAAATAAAAAAACGAATAGCTTTGGGGAAGTCTGCTATCAGGCACGTCTCCGTGTACTGAGAAACAATAATGTCAGTCTAGAGACTAAGGTACCCTTAATCCTAACCCTGGTCTTTGCAGTTACTTGCTATGCATCAGAGAACCAGACAATGAATAAGAATGAAAGAAGAAAATCGATCCCTTTGAGTTATGGTGCTGGAGAAGAGTATTGAACATACTATGAACTACCAAGAGAACAAACACATCTGTCCTGGAGAGAGTGAAACCTGGATTCTTCTTGGAGGCAAAGATTTTGAAGCTCCATCTCACATACTTTGGACATGTGGCCAAGAGGGCACAAGTCCTTGGAAAGGGACATCATGCTTGTAAAGGTGGAGGGACAGAAGAGATGGATTTACACAGTATCTGGGTTAATAGGGTTAGGTGTGTCAGAGACAGTGAGATTGACTCAGGAGAGGACAGAGTTCAGAGCTATTATTCATAGTATCACTGTGAGTTACAAGTGACTTGGCAGCACATAACAACAGTAACCACCAGATTTCTGTCATATCTGTGTTGTCTTCTTTCAGATTGCTGTGTATCCTTACTGCTTTGGAACAGACACAAAATTATGCTGATAATTGCTATTGTTTATCTTTTATTCCTACTAGCCAGCCCAGTCCCCAACTCCACACCAACACTCACACACTCAGCACCACCACCAAAAGACCTTCCTCTCTGGATTGTAAACTAAATAATGACCTTTGAGGTTCTCATCCATCTCAAAATCTTTATGAATCAGATCCCTAGAAATGTTTTGTATCAGAATATTCTCCAGTCTTACTCTGCTCTTTTGCTATATTGAAATATTCCATCTGAGTCACAAACTGAGAAAAACTGTTTGCACTTTGATCTGTTCATTTTTAACAAGACTTAACTAAAGTTTTTAAAGATAACATTACATAGTTGACTGACTTTTTTAAGAAAAATATGATGAAACATCTTTGAGGTTTACAAGGATGCTTTTTTATATTTACATTGAAAATAAAATTGCATATATGGTTTTCATTCCATTTTGGAGAAAAATCTGATATTGCAAGAAAATATACACTTGTAATTTTTTAATTAGACAGCAAATTTCAATTCTTAAATACACTTTGCAAGGAAATTTTATGTTGTGAGTGACAGGATAATATCCATACATATACAAGGAACTCTTATTAATAGTACCATCATTCAAATTTATGCACCAACAACCAGAGCCAAAGAGGAGGATATAGATGAATTCTACCAGCTGTTGCAATTGGAAATCAATCAAACATGCAACCAAGATACATTAGTAGTAATGAGTGACCGATACGCAAAAGTTGGTAAGAAGGAATTGTAGTTGGGAAACATGGACTTGGTGACAGAAATGAGGCTGGAGACAAGATTCTGTACAATCAATGATTTATATTCATTGCAAATACCTTTTGTAAGAAATATAAATGGCAACTACACATGGACCTCACCTGGTGGCCTACGCAGAAATTAGATTGATTACATCTGTGCGAAAAATCTTGGGAGAAGCTCAGTGTCAGCTGTGAAAACTAGGCCAAGTGCTGATTGTGGATCAGATCATCAACTACCTGTATGCAAGTTCAAACTGAAACTGAAGAAAATCAAATCCACAAGAACCAAAGTTTGACATTGAGTCTATCCTTCCTGAATTTAAAGACCATCTCAGAAACAGGTTTGATGCCTTGAATACTAACAAGTGAAGACCAGATGAGCTGTGGGAGGATTATCATCTGTGAGCAGTCTTACAAGCATCTTGAAAAACCTGCAACTAGGAGACAATGAAACAGATAAATGGAACCTTCTAAGAATCAAGTTTGTATGTACATCAAAAAATTTCTCCAGCAGGGTAAAATAGAAAGCCACAGACTGGGAAAAAATATTTGATAATGACATATCTGATAAAGAACTCATGTCTAAAATTTTTAGAATACTCCAGCACCTCAACAAGAAAAAGGTAAACAACCTAATCAGAAAATGGACACAGAATATGAATAGACACTTCACCAAAGAAGACAGTCAGATAGAACACACATAAAGAAATTATAGGCCAGATGCTTTAATTTAAGCTACACTCGAAGTGATCCAAGCACACTTTTCAGTATACTCACCTTGTTACGATTTGTCTCCTCTCATATTGTAATAGATGAAAATAAGGTTTCAGATTATGGATCTAAGAGAGATGCAAATCAGAATAACTGTATGATATTATCTTACCCTAATAACAATAGCAAAGTTCAACATAGCAGCACAACAAATGCTGGAGAGGTTGTGGAGATCTTGGAGCCCTTATTCACTGCTGGTGGGAGTGTGAAATTGTTCAGCCACTGTGGAAAACAGTATGGCACTTCCTTAAAAAGTTGGAAATTTTAAAAAAAAAGTTGGCCTTTTCGTTCTTTCGGCACCACCATGGTGGTTGGCAAGAACAAGTGCCTTACAAAAGGTGGCAAAAAAGAGGCCAAGAAGAAAGTGGTTGATCCATTTTCTAAGAAAGATTGGTATGATGTAAAGGTGCCAGCAATGTTCAATATAAGAAATATTGGGAAGACATTAGTCACAAGGACTCAAGGAACCAAAATTGCATCTGATGGACTCAAGGGTCGTGTTTTTGAAGTGAGCCTT